AGTGTACATCATTTTATATATATATATATATATATATATATATATAAAATTAAAAGAGGCAATGCGATGGCACTGTTCACAAGCCACAATTCATTGGCCGGCTCAGAAACCAGATGTTTCCAGCTAACAAGCCACCATAGGTAAAAGAGGGGACTGCAAGCCAAATTTAAATGGTTGGCTCAAAAGCCAGATTTTTCCACTAAACCACCACACGAATTTTTTAGCGGCTCATTGTTGGTCGGCTGAGCCTTTCGTGTATTGGGCGGGAAGGCATTAGTAATACCATTTTGTCTTTTGGTTTCTAGAATCGTCACGAGAGATATTGTAGTAGAGAGAAAAAAAAAATCGACGGTTTTCCTCCCCACAGCAATCCTCAACGTCGTACCTATGCCGGTCCCTAAGAACTTGACTCTCTTCCCCAATCGCCGGTACTGTCTTTTTGGTTTCTAGAATCATCCTTTTTGAGAGACATCGCAGTGGAGAGAAAAAAAAAATCAACGGTTTTCCTCCCCGCAGCAGTCGTCGCCGTCACGCCTACTTCGGCCCCTAAGAACGCGACTCTCTTCCCCACTCGTCGCCACCTCGCCATCACACGTACACCAACCCCTGGGAACTCGGCTCTCTTCCCCAACCAGTGGTACCTCGCTGCCTTCAGATACGCAACCAGCAGATTCCGACGACCAGAGGTTTGCCCATCGTCGCACCTCCACTGGCCTTTAAGAACTATGCACGTAGGAGCAGATGGGGACGAAAATTAGCAAGGTTAGCTTTTGCAATTCTAGCATTCTTTGAATTTTTGTTGTATTAATATGGTTAAAATAATGGTAAGCGTTCTTTGACGTATATACGTAAGCACGCTGTTGGTTTAGTTTATTTGGGTTCTTTAAATACAAAATATATCAATGTTCTCCACAGTTTCATCAATTGAGAAAAGGGAAGATAAGTAGCAAACTCATCTTTGTTTTAAAGCTTCCACAAAGAAACGTAATGACAGTAGATGATTATCAACGAATCCACTTTAGTGAGAGAAATTCACATTAGAAGTCAAAGTGAATGTAAATTACAAAGAATTAATGAATTAGAAAACAAGCAAAATCCGAATAGACTATCTAAGCATGAAGAAAATATTATAACACATTTGATCCATATAATATTATAACACATTTGATCCATATAATACTCAAAACACTTGTTACCAGTTGCCATTAGTCCTTCGAAGGTCAGCAAAGTTTTCTAACTTTTTCGATGTGTTTCTTAATCAGGGCATCTTTTATTTTGATTCATTGAATCATAAACACAAAATGTCTACTCTATACATGCATGGAAATCTTAAACTGCATTCTATCCAGCTAGGTTTGTAGATGATACTACATTTTGATTTACATCTTTCCTTTTGTGATTGTTAACCTTGATTTGCCACTGTGAGGATAGAATGTTGTTGAATGAACCAGCTCATCAAAAGCTTAAGTTCTATGATAGGAGACTCTTATTTATTAAATTTAGTCTTCAACTTGCTGCCTCGTGTGCATGCCAGGTTAATTTTTTCATCAGTGGCATTTGCACAATTTTTGTGGTGGCAAGAAAAAATGCCTTTGCCTATTTTGCTATAACGTTGAACTACCTTATCTAAAAGATTAGGCTCTTTGAGTAGGACAAAATATTGTTGTTTAATTTTGTCTTCAGCAAATTTATTGAGGGTTGTGCTCGATAAACTATTCAAATGGTTTTCCTGGCTGTTGTTTTACCCATTATGATAATATAATAGCCAGACTTTTTAAAGTATAAAACCTCTCTGTGCAAGTCTTCTCTCTCTCTCTCTCTGATATTATGTTTACGAAATTGCTCATATTGAATAATATGAAGTTCCATCCTGGTCAGAATCACCATCTTTTATGCTTTTTTCCCCTACGAATCCAATTTGCATATGGCTGAACATGTTTTGTTTTGCAGATGTATATAATTCGTAGGAGGAGTAGTTCTTTTTTTTTCCCTATGAATCCAATTTGCATATGGCTGAACATGTTTTGTTTTGCGGATGTATATAATATGTAGGAGGAATTGTTCATAGGGCTCATGCTGGGGGCAATGAAAAAATGATGTTAACATAAAGCGAGTTGCTACATTATTGAAGCATTTGTTGAAAGTTAGTGTTTAATTGTAATTTTTATTTTATTTTATTTTATTTATTTATTTATTTTTTTTTTTTTGTGTTCGGAACTCTTTTTTCATACTATATTCATAGGTTGCATGCTGCACTTGTTTGGTAATACTTATAAGGATTTGTCCTTAAAAGTCGACAGTGTCAATTTATATGGAGGTAGTATAATTAAACAAAATATAAGGCACTTATTCTCAACAGTGGCAATGAATGAGGTAAAATTTTCAACCTACACCGTGAACTACAATAAATTTATTTGTGTTAGTAACCTCTTTATCATTGAAATCATCAATAACCCTGGAAATTTCCAATGATCCAGGCCTCTTGCTCCAGTCCATTCCGTGACATGAGCCGAAAATCATTGCCTGCCACAACTGTGATGGAACTACCATAAGATCCTCCTTGTTTATTGTCTCCAGTTCATTTTTACTGGTAATTGCAACGCCTCCTGTATCATACACATAAATCCACCAACTAGATTATGAAGATACTGATATAGTCTTTGTACACATGCAAAACTGCAGCGAAATAACACACATTTTCCTCTTGCCTGTCACCCATAATATAAAACCGCATACTGAAAAATGACACATATATCAAATCACAATAAAGATATCATTTTTAATAGCTAACAGTAAAATTTTCCTCTAATAGTCACACTTTCGACTCGTTATAACACAATTCTGCAGTCCTTTCACTAATTTGAGCCCCTAGCTTAGCCTCAACTACTCGAGCCTGGGGTTCAATTCAAATAAGGCCACGGGCAGACCCATCAAGGGCCGAGCGGGGTAGGTCACCCTTACTGAATTTTCAAAGTTTTTCAATTGGACTTTTTTAAATTTAAATCTTCAATTTATTTATTTATTTATTTGGTTTGTTTTACAATTTATTTTAGCCCATTTTCTGTTTCGCCCTCACTGAACCATAATTTTTGATCCACCCTATATAAGGTCACCTGCTCTCGCTATTTACATGGAAAGCCTGGGGCTTATTTACAATTGAGGTAAATTTCTTATTGGCTTAAATATTTAATTACTATCCCTATCTACACTGTAACTTTATGAAAGTTCCTAAAACTGCACTGTTCTAAAAGACTCACATTGGCGGTTCCTAAAACTGCACTGCTCTAAAAGACGCGCATTGGTCGGCTCCATCCGATCAAGTGAATCCCTGCGCTTGCTTTCTTCTAAGGCTAGAACTGAAGTCCGAACTCTTGCAAGAAGTTCCTTTCTTTCTCTCTCCTATGTAGCTCATAGCGTTAAGAAATCCCCAAGGGTATTTTACCAATATGGAGCCATCGTCGAGTTTAGTATAGCATGGGAAGGAAGGGTCACCAAGTTTGAGTTAGAGCTTGTGTTTGAGTTTATTTTTATATGCAACTTGCACTAAGCTCAAAACAAAGAAGATATCATTGTCTCCCTCAAACAAGCAAAATACCCAGTTTACTGGCTTAATCTTTTTCACGGTTTGGAAAACAAAGGAATTATGCGGTGGAGAATTATTATTTGGCTGTGGAGCAGACTGAAATTTGAGGAAAAATTGTATTATTTCTCTCTGTAAAATTTGACCACAATAGAGAACAATGTAAAATAGTCCTTGCTTATTATTTGCTCATTCTTTTTGTTCCATTTTATTTTGAAATTTTGCTAATTTTGTGTCACTATACCGAGACACTCTTGGTAATCCTTCTATTTGCTCCACAGGAAATTGTTTATGAACAACGTTAAGAAGATGGAACACACTGAGGATATTTTCGGTGAACATCAGGAAAACATGATGATGAGGTGGTATGCTTCTTCTACTGTAGATTTTTCTTTTTACCTCTTTTTTGAAAAAATAAATAAATAAATCACCCCTGTTTAGTATGAGTTGATGAAAGTTGGTAATTTCGTTCTTGGCTGTTTAGTTAACTTGGTATTAGTTCACCATCACTGAAATGCTACATTTGTCATACTGCATATTTGTTCTTCATGTATTCATATAGCATAAGTTATTGAAGGAAGACAAATTTGTTCTTGGCCATTTAATTCACTTGGTAATTCGTCGTTTGTTTCTATCAATGTCTTCGTTCACTCTCATGTTAGATTTTTGGTATTTAAAGGGATGACACCGATGGTAGCTTCATGTACTCAATTTTCACTTTATCTGTACATTTCTCTTTTAAAAGTTGATCTCTATGAGTTTTCCCTTGAATTTTTGTTAGATTCTGGAGCACTAGGTCTAGGACTACTACAAAAACACACTCTCTATCGCTCCTCCAAGTTACTAAAACAACCTCACAGTGAATATGGTAATCAATTTATTAACTCTTCATTTGTATTGCAATTTGTATTTTATTTCTTTAAATCTGGAATGTGTGAAAATAAGAGAAACTATGAAATTGGTGTTATTTATGAGCTATTACTCGGTTTAAACATATTGTCAGATTTTGTGGCTACTTTTTGCAAGATTTCAGAGTTCGATTTGCATTGGCTTGTTCGATTTCATTGGTTAAATATTCTTTGTTATTTTTATGTTGGGTTTGTATATTAAACTTCAATATATTAAATGCTTGCTATGTAGACTTTTGGTTTCCAGGGTCAGTTTATCTTTTGTGGTTTCAATTTGTTAGAGTGGGATATTTTTCCTCTTTCGATTTACATAGGTTGGCTTTTGTCTGATTTCGTGGCTTCTTATGTACATATATAGGAAATGCTTGTTGTACACACTTTTGATTTCAATGGGCAGTCATTGAGTATGAATTTTTATCTTTTGTACTTTCGATTTACTGAGGTGGGATTTAATGTGTTTGAGGGTTTTTTTTCCATCTTTTGATTTACACAGACTGGCTTTTATTTAACTTCGCGGCTTCATTTGGGGTTTAATATGTTGTATTTATTTAATTTGATTTTAAATAACATAAAATGAATTGCATTATTTTATAAGATACTACATGAGCGAATTTTAACATTATTACTTAGAGTGTGTTTGAGCCACATTATTTTGGTAATAATGCATTCTTGAACAGTGTATTGATGAGAAGTGTGTGGTTAAAAAATAAGGAAAAGTTTTTGATTTGCGTGTAATATTATTTTATTGAAAAATGTGTGTTTAAAATGATGTCAAATTATTATTTAAGAATGCATTTTTTTGAAATAATGTGGCTCAAACAGACCCTTATACTACATTACGCACTGCAAGTGCAACGCCCGTTCCGTCACTAGTAATTAAAGAAGTTTGACTTGATATGACTTTCAGATGCAGAACCAATAGCGAGAGAGAGAATCAAAATAGATAATAGTTAAAAATCTTAGCCAAAATCCAATAAATATAAGTTGAAGATGTTCCGTCAAAGAAAGTGAAATCACTGTGTACAATATTTTAATTAAAATTTGACAAAGCACGTGGTTTTCAATTAATAATCTAAATTCATATCATACTTATATAAGTGATTTTATTAAGCACATTTTAAGCTTAACCAACATAAAATTTTTGCGGTTAATTAATTTATACATAATATACAACAGAATATAAAATTTGCATATGATAGATTGAAAATGATTTGAAATTAACGAAAAACTAATAATAAAATAGATGATTTCCTTGTATTTTATGTAGATATATTATTGATATTTAGGTGCGTATTGAAGTAGAATATAAGATATTTGAGGTCAATTTTACCAGGATCACTTGTTATGAATAACTTGAATATGAATTTTTAAAAATATTATAAAGTCTATGTTTGGTTCCTATTTTTCAAAACTTATTTTTAACCATACATTCTTCTACAAAATAATTTTACGTGTTCTCCAACAAACACTATTCGAAGAGAATTTGATCCAAATGTGGGGTTCAAACAAGGGCAAAATAAATTATGGTTCGATCTCAAAATCCACTAAAATCTATGAAAATCTAATTGTCGGGCCAAAATTCTTAAAAGAGTTTCGTATTTTCAGAGTACAATAGATTCAATTAAAATATTTATGCCCATCTTTAATTTTAGTAGATTGTTTAGAATTTTAGGAAAATTTAATAACTCGAGGATTTCTCTTAGAAAAAAATAATTTTTTCATGCTTATTTTCATGTAATCAATTTATTGAACTTCTTCTTTTAAAACTTCAAGATAAAAAAATTGTGGGCAATTTTATTTTCTTTGAATATAGTGTTCATGCTCTTATTTTCTTTAATGAGCATTGTGCATACTATGAATTGCGAATTAGGTATTACAGAAGTTGAAAATGTTCAATTTACGTTACATTCATATCTGATAAATTGACAACTCAAGTCGAAAATTAGTCTCCAATTTTATTCTATGGATTGCTATTTGAGTGTCATTTATTTTCTTAAAATAATAATAAAATCAAAATTGAATCTATATGGGAAATTTCTTGAAATGAAATACTAATTTTGATATTGCTCCATCTAATAGAGCACCTAAATTTAGATGCGATGTCTATTTCTTTTTATGCCACATCAAGTTGATGGAATATTTATCAGCTTGCATTGAAAATGAAATTTTGTACATCTTCTACTTTACTAATGTGGCACTACTTTTGAAATAAACGTGGCATCATTCTCTTATATTGAATTTTTTGTAGAGAAGAGAGAGAGAGAGAGAGAGAGAGAGAGATAAAATTTTTGTATGGTACTTATTTGAATATTTTGATTTCATATATTATTCTCCTTATGCACATAAGGTAGGAGCCGTATGAGTTTTCTAGGAAAATATGTTGGTCTAGAGCATTAGATGGTTCCAAATTCAATTGATCGTATTTGAAGAATTATATGGTCCTCTTGAAAGGCCTTTAGCTCCACATCAAAGTTACGATCGATATAGTTAATAGCATCAATGTCGTCACTAACATCAATATTGTCACTATTATCAATATTGCAGATCTCTTGCAGGAACGATTTGGAAGACATTAAACCAAAATAATGGTATTTGTTAGAGAATTAATCGAATATGAAAAATTTATTGTTAGTTTCATTCGGGTCACTGCTATAATTTTTTGAAAATTAGAAATGAATAGGATAATTTTTTACCTCCAATCAATCAAGAGGTGCATACTGAAAACGTATAAAAAAATCTAATTACTTTTTATAATATCCATTCATATCTGGTAAATTAAAATAAACAAATTCAGATTTACGTATTATAATGTCGAAATTTACGCGTAAAATCTCCAAAATCCATTAAAAGAGTCAAGTAAGTACGCATATAGTTTTTGATCGATTTATGCATCCCTTTATCTCGACAAAGTGTTGAGAAAATATATCAATTTTATCATGCAATAATATATCTAATCAATTGGGTAGAATTTGGACTTACAAAATAAACGGAATAAATAAAATAATAATGGTCGAGACAAGAGTTCGACTCTTTCTCTTTAGACAATCATACCTCATACTGGTGTTAATGGTCTAATGTACTCATCTCCCAAGATACAACGATTTGGACTTGTAATAGTAGCACTCTAAATTACAAGAGTTGACGAACATATTAATATTTTGATCTCTCTAAAATTGGAGGACTAAAATGCACAAAATTAATATTTGGGATTGAAATGCACAATATAGAATAATGCAAGACAGAAGGATTATATTTTGCAAGAGAGAACATTACGAAAGATTTTCGGAATGAATAAAATCCGAGATATGGGGACCTATTTAACAGCCAAAATGTTGTATCTTGAACAGACACAACCCATTTGAACATACATTTTAATAGTCAATCGTTAGCTTCTAGAATAAACCACGCATTGCACACACAAAAATTTGAGAAAATAAATAATATAATTCAAATATATTATTTTAATTTAATAAAAAATATAATTCAAATATTATTTTATCAAAAATAAATATACTAATTTGGCCCACAACCTGTGACCTATAAACCCTAACCCATGCTCATGCCGAGCCGAGCCGACCGATCTGACGGATAGTGGTGTGCATGTGGGGGCTTTGGTTCAACCTACTAACATGTAGGTCCCCTCCCCTTCAAAAATTATTGGTATCCCTTGGGCCCAAATTCAAATTCCAAATTTGAGTAAAATAAAGTGATTTTTATTCTTCTAGTCTTTCTACGTGGAATCGACACTATCCAATTTTGCACAAATTTTTATTCCCACTTTATTTCATCTTTTGATCTTAATTTCTCATTTGCTCTAAATTGATTTTGAGAAAATAAATACATACATCAATTTGCTCATGAATCAGAATACATTCGGCCAAATAAATCTTTTATTCAACTAATATGACCCACTTAAATAATTGATCAAAAGTTGATCAAACCAACTAATTAAATCAATTTTCCAACAATATCTCATATGAATGGAAATTAATGTAATAGATGATTCAGACCCTATAGAGAGATCAGGCAAAAAGTTATTGCATCAAGATAGGTACCTTACGGGGTTTGAATCTTCCATAGTAGAATATTATCAGATTTACATGGTTAGTTAGTGAACATGATGTGTTGAACTATCAGCCGTTAGTGTAAACCATGACAATAGTATCAACACAATAACCTCCCTAACATTTTTGAGTTCAATATTGTGTTTCTTTTGTCATTGAACAACTCTTGAATTTCATAAGTGCTTTAGAAAATTCAAGCCTTTGAAGCATTCTCATGGAAGCGGCCCCACTTCACACTTATATAGGTGATCTCATATTAAGAGTACTTGTCATACCACCCCAATTGGATAGTTCAAGACATGGGAATCATTAAAAGTATAACTTAACCTAAAACTTTCTGCGTATAGAACTTTTCTTATCATAAAAATGAGTAGGAATTAACTCAGAGGGGATTTTTGAATCTTCATAACTTAGGTATCCAATGAACCAAGATCTTGAGATCTCCAGCCAGTAAGGTTAGGCTGCCGTTACAAAAAATCCTTAGGTAGTAGGTTTTAAACACATTTCCCTTGATAGGCAGTATATTTAATCTCTTCGCAAGCGGATTCATGAGATTTTTTCTAGATTTTACACAGTCTATAGAAATAACACCGTTCGAGATGAAGTGCTTAATTGTATTATGTCTTCGATGGATATGTCGAGACTTACCATTATACATACTACTTTTGTGCTCTACCGATAGCCTACTAACTATCACAATGCATACTACTTGTAGGCACAAGTTTAGGTAAACATGGAATATCCTCTAAAAAATTACAAAAGACATTCTGTTTCCTCTCCTGATTTATCTAAAGTTATGAACTCAGATTCCATCATGAATTGAGCTATACATGTTTGTTTAAAAAACTTCCAAGATACGGCCACACCACCAATGGTAAAAACATAACCACTAATGGATTTTTAAGTCTTTTGTATCTGATATTCAATTAGTATCATTGTATCGTTCTAATGCAGCTGGACATCTAGTATAATGTAATCTAATATTTGAAGTGTATCGTAGATATCTCAGTATCCTTGTCAAGGTCTTCCAGTGATCATTATTTGTGTTACTTGTAAATCTACTAAACTTGTTCACTGCATGTACAATATCCGGATGAGTGTAGTGTGAAATATACATTAGGCTACATATTATCCGAGAGTACTCCAACTAAGATACGGTTTCGCATACATGTTTGGACAAATGTAAACTTAAGTCTACTGGAGTTTTAACTAGACTTTCATCATATATATGAACTTTTTAAGTACAGCCTCAGTATAGTGAGATTGAAATAGAACAAGTCCTTCAGATGTCTTAAGGATTTTAATTCCTTATATTACATCTATAATATTCATATCTTTCATGTTAAAATATTTTATCAATAT